GTTTAACTATATAAGTGACTTGTGATGTGATACTGATCTGATATCCTGTTTACACTTCAACTTCTCTGCCCAGCCCCTTCACTCAACTGGCTCCGATCTTATGCAGGTCCACTTCACTCCACAATCACTGGCCGTTCCACAACACCCAAGTCTGGAACTCTCTGTCTAAGTCGCTCCACATTACACTCTCCTTGCCCATCTTCATATCACACCTGAAGACCTTCCTCATCAACGATGTCTATGGTCACTTCCCCTCTCTCCCCGGCTGAGCTTCAAGCTTCAACTGAAACTCTAGCCCTATGATAATCATAACATGGGACTAGAAAAGTCCACGTACGCTGAACTGGCTGCAAGATGACAGGCCTGGCAATGGAATGTCGGAAAGGAGCCAACCTTCTGTGAAGGTCTCTAGTCCGGTTCCTGAGCCAGGCGGGTCCACAGTATTCCAGGGCACTCACTGCTGATGACAGCACAGCCCAGCCTGGCTCATCGGCATGACCTGGAAGGGCAGACCAGTCACTGGGGGCAGGGAGTCATCCCACTCGGCTCCTGCTAACCCTGCAAGCCAAAGCTCTAACAGGCAGGGTGGTCCTAGCTGGACAAGCAGCAGGACAGCAATATCAATAGCAAGCTTTGTGGTTTTAGCTGGTTAGGTAAGGTAAGATGATGGGACCCTCCAGGGAGAGAGTGAGCATTCCAGCCCAACAATCTATCTCTGGGATTTCCATATAGGTGGGATGCATGGAATTCTCAGCTTGGTTTGAATACTCTTAAGCATGATGATGGTTTCCCCATGCGTCAGACACCCGGTTGACCAAGAAAACCCAAGAAAAGTGGTCAAAAACAGTCAATAGTTATCACTGCTGGTACCCCATCCTTGACTTTGTCATGGGTCTGAAGCCAACACAATAATTTCTGACCACCCAATACCATCTTTGTTCTCAGCAATAGAAGAGCGAGTCGCCATATTTGTGAATACAACATTTATGTGCTGCTTCACAAGACAGAGTTAATATCAAAATCACTCCAGTATCTTCAATAAGTTTCATTGAGAATTTAGATATTAGCCTGGCTTACTTACCTCTAAGACAGAAGGATTTATGGTTCAAGACCACCACAGAGGGATGGCTTGATTGGGACTTTGATCAGTCCTGCACTGTCTTGAGATACAATCCAAATTAAATTTGCATAGCGTCTTTCATGTCGGGAGGACGTCTCAAGGCGCTTGCCATCCTTCAGATGAGATATTAAATTGAGGTCCCGTCTGCCTGTTCAGATTAGACTATTCCAATAGAGAAAGGTTCCTCCTGGGATCTTGGTCAACCATCTCCCATATAAAAGTCTTTTTTTTTAATAATATTATTTGTTTATGGGACACTGCTGTGCACAGCACAAATTGGCTGTCAAATCTGCCTATAAATACACAGTCACTACACTTTACAGAAATAAGAACGTGAAGAGTTTTGACGTGGTAAAGAAAATGCAAGGATTACCCGTATTACTATTATTATTTATCTTTAATGTCCACCTGAAGAATAGGCAAACAGGATCTCGATGAAATAAAATCTGAAGGACAGCAACCTTTTAGGAACAATGCAAGGAGCCATTTGTAGCTGTATATAAGCTGATCACTATTTACAGTGAAGTCCAAACAAAACATTTTTGGTAAAGATTTAAAGCTAATCCACTATAAATATCGTGGCAACATGTGAAGAACCATGTTTGAAACAAGAATACACAATTAGCTATAGTAGAATTGACTTTTTTTTTAAAACCTAGGATTAATAGCTTTGCCTTTATCACACACCTCCACCTCTGCCCCACCGCCAACACACAGGCATTAAATAATCCATGTTCCTAAACAACGGGTCATTCTGTACTTTGACAATATTTCTAAAAAGGTTACGTCTGTAGGGCACAAGCAATTGATTGAGGTTTTTAGACGATTTCATTCTCTCCACGGGAAGTTTGTCACATCTACAGGCCAGAGCTCATCCTCCGCATCTCATTTACATCTGGTACAGAAGAAAATATGACAATTTCCACAGCCAGGTAGAATTTAAATAGCAATTTACTTGAGAATTTATGGGAAGGTCTGCCTTGTGTTTGGTCCTCAAGCTGACTGGGATGATGATGATGATGATGATGAGAATAAGGTATGAAATTCACTGATCCTTCTAGCCTATCCTAAATCACCAGAATGGTAATTTTGCAGAGAACATCAACTATTTCTTCAGATCGGCTTGTGCAGAGCCAGATGCAAAATCTGAGGCGGGCTAGGATTTATACAAGATTTATATTCATCATTCATAGCAACCTGAATGCTAACTTTTCTTCCTCAGCTGATGCCCTTCTAAGCAAGAACAGAAAGGAAATAATAATAAGAATCTTTGCATTTGCTATAGCGCCTTATCACGTCTTCGAGACGTTTCAAAGCGCTTCACAGAGTATACTGCAAAGTGAATTGACCGTATGGTTTGTGGGCAAATTCACGTTCCCTAAAATGATTTAAAGGAATTGTATTTCAAAAAACAGGCAGATAGCATAAGAACCAACTGAGGCCAGTACATGGAATTCTCCAACCCTGCGCTAGTATCAAACAATGTTTACCTATTTTAATGTTCTATGAACCTATAATAGTGTTGTTCAGTTGCCCACAATCTACTTTGTTAACTAAGCTGTCAGTTCAGCAATGGATGGCTCAAGATCGCACAACTCTTTTGGAAGCACAGTGCTTCAGATTTGGATTACCAGATCACAAGTGAAATTCACACAAAGAAGACATTTATCCCATTTGTGCCATTTGTCTGTCCAGAATCCACACCTTACTGTCCTCTTATTACAACTTCAAGCAGCTTCTTAAACAAGTTGGCCTCTCTCTTTCTGGCAACCTGTCATTAATTACTCACTAGGTAAAGAAATACTTTAGTGGTGTTTTAGGATGTCCTCCTGACGTGAAAGTCGCTATACAAATGTAATTTGTTGTTGTTCTTGCTGTCGGTCCTGAAATTGCTCTTTGCACCACTGAACCTGTGCCCTCTTGTTCTTCTATCCTTTAAGCGCTCTGAAATGCTACCCTGCATGGAGGGCACTACATAAGTGCAAGTTGTTGTTGTTGTTGCTGCCCTTGCATAACCGAAAGTATTCTTCTGGGTTTACTTTCTCAATCCCATTTAATTATCTTATATATCTCTATAAGGTTCTATTTGAAATGTCTGTTTAAAAGGCTAAAGAGGTCTAGCTCGTCTAATTTATCTATTTGTTGCTTATGGTTAATCCCTCTAACACTGGGGATCATCCTCATTGCTCTCCTCTGTTTCTAGGGCAGCCTCGTTATGTTACAATAGCACTTTGGGATGTCCTCTCGACATGAAAGGCACTACCAAATGCAAAGATTATTATTCTACCAACCAGCATTGTACACATTACTCTAGGCACAGCCTGACCAGAGCATTGTGCAGCTTGAACAGGACTTTAGGGAATCTGAGCTCAACTGATTTGATAATATAATCCAGGATCCAATTTACCTTCTCTTATTGCTGCCTCACCCTGACTTGACATGTGAGCGATGGGTCAACTAACACCCACCCTTTCAGTTTCCATACATTCCACAGATGAGATAGAACTTGCCTTCAGCTTCCTCCTGGGCAGGTTCTATCCCATTCATGGAGTATATGTGTCTGCTACTTCCGATATGCAATACCTAACATTAGATATATTACAACAGCTTGCACTTATAGCGTCTCAGAGCGCTTATCAGTGTTGGAGCCTGACTCCGAGCCGGGTGGGGGGGGAAGTGGCCGTAAACATGGTCAAAGAGGAAGGTTTTCAGGCGGGACTTGAAAAAGGGGAGAGAGGGGGGCAAGGCGGAGGAATTGAGGGAGTGTTCCAGAGTTTCGGGGTCTCGTGCGTGAAAGCGCGACCTCCGATGGTGGGGTGGAGGGTGTGAGGGACGAGTGGAGGCCGGTGCCAGTCGAGCGGAGGCGCCAGATGGTGGATTGGGGAGTGAGGAGGTTGGAGAGGTAGGAAGGTGCCAGGGAGCGAATGGATTTGAACACGAGTGTGAGGATCTTAAAGTCAACCCATTCAATGATGGGGAACCAGTGGAGCCTGGGCCAGAACTGGTGAGATGTGGGTACGGAATTTGGTCCGGGTCAGTATGTGGGCGGCAGAGTTCTGATCGAGCTGGATCTTTTGAATAGTGGAGCTGAGGAGACTTGTGAGGAGTGTGTTTGATTAATCCAGGCGGTAGGTGACAAACTCATGCACAAGGGTTTCGGTTATATTTGTGGTAAGGTACTGTTGGAGGCAGGCAATATTAAAATTCATTTGACAGTTATCAGCCCATGTGTATAACCTATCAAGCTCTTTTTGTGAGACCTTTGCTGCAATCTTTTATTCAACAGTCCCCACCCAACTTAGTGTCATCTACACTTGTGACTACCTTACACTGGCTGGGTCTGCGAATCCCGATCATTAAAGGCTAACAAAGGACTTTGTTCCAGACTACATAACATGCAGACTATGTAGCTGAGATGGATCTTTCAAACCAATTTTCCATCACAAAAGAAACATGACTTTTTGCATGGCAATCTGTGTTTGGTTTGGTGGGCAATGCTATTGAGTGACAGAAGCTCACAAAATATTATCTGCTACTGAAGTGGTTGCAAAACAAAACATACATTTTCTTTTGTTCTTTAGCGATTTGGCTCTTGGAAATTTTTCCCAGATCTCCAGTTACTGTAATGTAAATGACTTAATACCCAACGTCAAATGAATAGACCTTCATTTAACTCGTGTAATTATTTCTATCTACCGGAGTGAAATTGTCAATTCAAAGCTACTTTGATTGAGAGGACAATAAATAAATTAAACCATATTGTAAATGATTTACAGGCTTTCATCAGGCTCCTCGTTTACTGTAATTTATTTTAACATGCCAGTAAAAACTTCAGCAGATAGTAGATTTACCACAGCAGTTCTACTCTACCTACACATACCTGTGTTTATCTTTGATGTTACATGTGACAAGTCCATTCTCTGCGATCGGACGGGGGCCAATGTCTTAACAGGCGATAAATTCTTAATTGGCGAGTTCTTTGTCGAGCTCTTTTTCTGCTCCAGCCCTTTACTCACTTTAGAGAGTGGAGCAAAAATGCCTTGAAAGAAAAAAAACAAACAATTCGCAAGTCAGATTATTTCGAGACCAAAGCAATGCTACTTCTGAAATAGAACAGAAGTGGTCGGGAACACTCAGCAGGTAGTATCAATGGAGAGAGGAAAGTGAGTTAATGTTTCAGGTCGATGATCTTTCGTCAGAAAATGGACTGAGTTCTGACGAAAGATCATCGACCTGAAACATTAACTCACTGTCCTCTCTCCAATACATGCTGCCTGATCTGCTGAGCGTTCCCAGCTTCTTCTGTTTTTATTGTAACAAGATTATTCACAAATTTGGATTATTCACGAACCCCAAAAAGATTTTCCCTGCCATTAATCTCTTTAATATTTCTCCTCGGTAATTTTTCCCCTGCCCTTTACAAAGGCCTAATTAGCATTTGCTTCTGCCCAATGCCACAACCAAGATCATAATCTGCCCTGTGGGAAATCATTGAGCTAAACCCGTATTCCACTGCTCCACAGCACAGCGCTTTGCAGCACAGTCTCACCACCGTGTCATCTTCAATCTCGCACATTACATTCACATTTCACTGGAGGATATTGGAATTTTATGGTCATTTCAAAATAATAAATGAACCAAATTGTATTGCACAGCACCAGTAGCAAGAAATTACTCTCCAATATCCTTACCTCCAGTGTATCTCAATAGCTTGGTGTGCTGTGCCAGAAATCATAATTAACTTTCACTAGAAAATGCCAAATGTTTTGTAATTGAAACTCTTAATATGGTGCAAAATTCTATTATGGTTTTGAAGCTGAATTTTGATTATTTATCAATAATAAATAAAATTATATTTGTTGAAGTCAGTATTCGATTGCGTTTCTTTCATATTTATATGTCCTGCAAAAAAATTGTTCATAATGTAATTGTTATTTATGATCCACACCATTGCTTTTTTTAAAACCTTTTTATACAGATTATTGCTTCTTTGTCGCACCCATTCTGAATTAGTTCAAATCAAAATTACGTCAAACACAGAGTCAGCATCCTATTCCCTCGTCCGCCAGGCTCGTTCCCTCTCCCCCGGCTCATTGTCAGACTCTCCCACTCTGAAGCGCACCAGGACACTACCCCATTTGAAGGGCGCTATATAAAGGCAAGTCATCATTGTTGTTGTTAACCCAGCTCCCCAAACTGAGTCAAAAATACTCACAAATCCAGTATTACTAAATCCTGCTCTCAAACTGGCATCTAAACCATATCAAAACCACAACCATCTCAATCAGATTGCGTTTGCCACACTGCCATTTGTAACCAAGTGCAGTTTGATTATAATCAACAGCGCTTCAGAAGCAATCTACCACCTTTTACCAGCCAAGAAACAGACCATAAGTTGCTGCCAGCCTCTACAAATTGTGCTCTATTAGTGATATTAGAACGTGCACGGTCTGATCATCATCTTCTGATTTTCTTTCCATGCTGCAGAGGACACTGCTGACTGCATTCAGCACAAGAAAGATATGGAAAGGAGCTTTACAAATGTAATTTTGTTGTTGTTGCTGTGTGGGCAAAGGAAAGCCACTGGCTCGTTCACTTCAGCCTCAGGGAGGTGTATCAAATATTAAATGGGATTGAAAAAGTAGACCCAGATGCAGCAAGAAAAGAGAAGAAGAGGATATAGATTTAAATTTGTAAAGGGTAATTTCAGGATAGATACTATGAAGTTTTTCTTTACCCTGAGAGTAATCAATGACTGGAATAAGATGCCAGGAAATGAGGTAGAGGTCAGAATGCTGGACTCATTTGAAAAACAGCTTGAGGCAGTGTTGGTGGGACAGTGAGGATGCGATCAGATGGACCAAAGGGCCTTCTTCATCCAAACCAATCTTGTGACCTTCTACAATGTCCACTCTACTGCCTTCCCATTACAGCTCAAGCTTGTTTCCTGAATCAATCCAGCATTCTAGCCTCAATTTCCCTTCCTGGGACCTGTTTCAGCCTCTTTACAAAGCAATACTTCCTGATGCATGTCATAAAAATGTCCTTCACAACACTGATCCTGTGCCCTCTTGCCATGCACTACAGCACAACGAAGATCAGTAGCTCCCCAAGCAGGAATTTGATTTTAGAGGATGGAGGGGGAATGAGGTGTGGAAGACAAAACAGAAAACTAATTGATACAGTGGTTTGGATTAGCACATTGATCTTTCACCTCTGGGCCCTGGGTTTGAATCCAGGCCAGGTTGACACAATAACAATTTCTTCTGTTTATGGGCTCTAAGTGTCCTGTGTTGAAATGACTTTGGACAGTTATCAACTCAGCTCATAGAAGGCATGAAACCCAAAACATAAAACTACCTCAAAATTGACTTTAAAATTTGGAGCTTCTTTCAAGACTTGGTTCACTCAGCAAAGATTGTCTTGAAGGGATTGCAGACGAGATTTACAAGAACGATATCAGGTATGAGAGGCTTTAGCTATGAGGAGAGATTGGAGAAATTGAGTCTATTTTCATTGGAGGAAAGAAAGTCTAAGGAGAACCTGATAGAGGTGTACAAAATCAAAAGGTTTTTGACAGGGTAAATAGGAAGAAGCTATTTCCTATAGTAGGGGAATCGGTGACTAGGGGGTCACAGTTATAAGATAGTCATAAGATGAGCAAAAGGAGATTTTAAGAGATTTGTTTTACACTCAGAGAATTGTTGGGATGTGGAATGCCCTGCCAAGTAAGGGATAGAGGCCATTGTGGGTTTCAAGAGGGAAGTGGACATGTATGTGAAGGGTAGATGTGTGAAGGGGTATGAGGATAATGCAGGGCAGTGGTTTGAACGAATACCTTCTCTGAGAGCTAGTGCAGACTTTACGGTCCGAATGGCCTCCTTCTATGCTTTAAATCGCTGTGATTCTATGATTGTTGGTGCAAAAAATGGATTATATAATTAGGATTTTGTGGAGTCTGTAGCAAAGTGGTTAGAGCACTCTCCTCCCAAGCGAGAGGACTTGGGTTCAATTTCCCAGCGGGGCGAAACCTTAGGCAAGTTTCCTCACTCCACACGCCTCTATTTACTCAGCAGTAAGTAGGAACCCAACTGTTAGTTGATTGGTGGATTGCTTTCCGGGAGTAATAATCGCTTCCAAAAAATATATAATGATTTAGTCACTATATCCACGACTGTTTGTGGGACACTGCAGTGCGCAATTGGCTGCCACATTTCGCCCACAAAATATAATTAATTCACTTTACAGTATATGCTGTGAAGCGCTTTGAGACGTCTAAATGACGTGAAAAAGCTCTATAACAAATGCAAGGATTATTATTATTATTATTTTATTTATCAATACCTATTGGGATCTTGAATACCCTCAACAGGATTTCCCCCCGAGATTTATCTTCTTCAATGAAAACAATCGCAGTTTCTGTAGCCTCTCCACAGAACTGATGTGTCCAGCTATCAATCTTGTTTCCCTTGTAGTATCTGATCAGCACATCCACTAACCATCTGGCAGTGTCTGAAAAATCACCATGTGGGCATATGGTCATTTCAATCTAATAAATGAATCAAATTATATGGCACAGCACCAGAAGCAATGCGAGAAATTACACCCTAGGAATTACATTCAAAATATCTCAATAACTCTGCCTAGTCGTTCCCAGAATTTATAATTAACTTTCACTGGAGAATGGGCAACTCGAGCATAATGTCTTGATTAACCAACAGTCCACCATGTGGAAACCTACATTAATATGATGGACCATATTCGGTTGTACTCAAAATTCATGACTGTTGTTTGTCCACGAAAACAGTCACTACACCTGACAGTAATTACTGTAAAGCACTTTGAGAGACATTTCAACATGACAAAGTGGTACAAGAATGAAATTTCTTCTTTCTTTAATTTTTCTTTTGCTGCAGATGACAGAGACTGGGGTTGAACTCTCCCACCAGGGGAAGCCTGGAACGTATGACTACAACAGCAACTTGCATTTATATAGCACTCGTCACCTAGCATAACACCTTGTAGCACTTCACAAGGACGAGTCGGGTGTCGAGCAAGAGAGGACGGAGTTGACTGCAGATGCAATTGAAATGGTAAGTTATTTAGGTAGCACAGTGAACCCCTGGTTTACCAGACTCCAAGTATCCAGAATTCGTACATAGCCAGACTGAGACAGAAACAGAAACACTTTAAAAACTTCCACTTAGTGTGCAGGCGCACACTCCTAGCCTCACCGTGCTTGCTGGCCTTCAGTGGCCAGGGATATCGACTTTGATATACACCTATAGCTTAGTCGCTATCTTCTGTTCACGGGAATCAAACAATTACAATGCTGATATCAGCGTTTTTCAGCATTTTTTGGCATTGAAAAAAGCAAGTACCGAAAAAAGCCAGTAAAAGCCAGAAAAAAATCCAGCTCAACAAATCTCCCACCTCTCCTCAGTAGTCCGGCTTGCCGGGGTTTTAGTGTATTTATAGATGGATAGAGTTGGAGGGATAGATTTCCAGAGTTTAGACGAAGACTCTAAGTAACTTCTAATCTGACGCTTCTCCTGAAGCTAGTGTGGATAGTTTCCTACATTTTCACCAGTTGACACGTTCTTCAATCAATCCCACTCAAGCAAAACAAAATGAAAAGATGGATTTACTATTGTGTGTTTTTCTCTTCTCAAGTGTTTTGGAATTTTTTTGGGAGGGAGGATCAAGTAATCTCCAACGAGAACACGTACCCTCTTCCCCACCTACACTTTCTCCCTGCATTAGTTTCCTGCACCAGACTTTGCTTGCATCTCCAAGGTTGGGCAGATATTCACAGAAGTTCATGTCAATACCACTAAACAAACCATGGAACCAATTTAAGGACTAGAATAGATACTCCTTCCAGTAAAATTTTAAGTACAGGTAATAAAAAATAATTATGATTGAAATAAAAACTAAGCTACTTTCTGAAGTTCGTGCACAGCAATTTTATTCCATATAAATATCCTGAGGAATTCCTATATATTCAACGTTTAGGCATCTGTATTCTGTCTGGAGACT